TCTTTGAAAGATAATGTCCCAGTTCTTAAAAATTGACAAACATGTCTTTCATTGAAACATATCTTCTCTTTTCTTAGCTTTCTATTTTTTCGGTCCTGTTTTGTTGGCCGTACCAATCTCCTTACACTTCCGTTCCATTTGAATCGAAAGTAGCCTTTTCAGAGATGGGATCCAATTTGCTCTAATGGGTTTCGATCCGAATCAAAGCCGTCGAGGTAGTGCCAACAAACCAATAAACATCACATTCCTTGAAGTGATCATGGAGTTCAGTCCAAAGCTGATACGTCAGGACAAAGCTGCAGTGTAGGTTCTTTGCAGTAATTTCTAGTCCTTTCCTTCTCATATGTTGTTCCGCTTCGTAATATTACACCATTAGTTGTGAGTTTAATTCCTATGGTTCTGAACCTTCATTTAGTATTACCCCTTCTGTTGACCTGAAAGCATCTTAAATAAACAACAGTGTTCTTATAGAAAATTTCTTGCAAAAATCAATCCTGTTTGCAGCATGCGGTATTTGGAGCGACATGGTCCTCCTATTCTGCCATCGAAAGAGCCTATATGGGAACCGTACCTGTTGTACAGAAATTCTCTCGTGGTGAGTTCCATGAACGTTTTTCTTTCTGAAGATCTTTCGAAATGTCAAAATTATGATAGTTTGAAAAGCTTCTGCCTTTTCAAGTTTCGAGATGCTATTGAGTTTTTGCAGGAGAAGCACCCTGATGACGCATCATCGGTTCGCAGTTTCTCTACTGCATATACAGCAAGAGGAAGGGGACGTGGTCGTGGTCGAGGAAGGTCGACACCCACACCGTCTGAGGTGTGAATAAAGTGAGTTTCAAGCGTCTTCTATTACTATTATTATCTATTAACTATTATTTCGAACGATGCTGAGCTCTTATGTCATCTTTGTTATCCAGTGGTGTGTGGCACCATGGCTATCATTATTCGATATGTGACATACTATATGGTAAATAACTTCTAATTTTTAGGGCTTACAAAATGACTTTTTGTTTCAGAGATAGCGCAGATCCGAGAGAAAGTGTTGATTGCTGTCTATCTGTATTTCTACTGTGTCCTACGGTTTCGACTACCTACTGTAGAAATACTGCTTATTGTCATTTTATGTAAAAAGCAACACTATTGTCATTCCTTAGATAGCTTCCTCATTGTACCATCTTGATCTCTTTTCTTTTGTTGTTGATGGATCTTGAACAGATATTAAGTACTCGCTGCTCTATCCGTTGTCGCACCAGTAATCTCTGTGAGTAATATCGACATAAGGAACACGCCCGTAGAGGCCACAGGAGCCAGCGCGGGCTCAACGCGCGCTTTGAATAATCTCTGTAATTCTCTATACATCTATCTCATGCTGTGACATAGTCATCTTTTTTGTACACGGAGTATATAATAAAAAACATTCGGACAGTTGGAGTTATTTGTAAGCCAGTGCAGTTCACCACTGATTAAAGGATCTTCAAAAAAATTCAAATTCATTCAAAAAACGCTCAATGTTTATCCTGCACGCCCTCCGTTCGCCCAGCCTACTACCCACAAAATCTTAGTTTCACCTCAATCCCACACGTGATTTCGAGCGACTGAAGTGGGTACGACCCCCCCCCCCCGTTGCTACTCGTAACAACGTAGGGTTGACCCTGTCTTCACTGTTTTGTGGAAACGATGGTATGCGAGATAGACCATCTTCTAATTTTCATGTTTTGCCCCTGACAACCAGAAAAAAAATAACAAATTTATAAACAACACAACAAATTAAGCAACAATCTCGTATCGCAGAGGTGCGAGAAGCTCTGGCTTGTTGCTTTGGGTGCTAACGAGATGACCCGGTCGAGGTCCGACGGGAAGGCGCTTAAGAACTGGCAGTGGCTCGCCAGCGGCTTTCGCTGCCTTCTTCTTCTCGTTCATTAGCTTTCACGCGGTTCAAGAAGTCCTGTCGGCATGTGGACGGCTTTACGTGCTCGACTCGGATGTTGATACGTTTGGGAATAATTCGTCCTCTGAAAACTAGTTTTTCAATAACGTAATAATAATACTAATGAATAGCGTTTGGCTTGATTATTTGGCAGTCAGTTGCACTACTGATAGGTTTTAGGTGTAAGCGCTATGGAACGAACGTTCGTATAGGAGTGGCCATTTCAAAATTACGCTGCGAAGGACATAACTATACTGGTGAAAAAATCATGACCAAATGGTATCATTCGAGCAACAACTGGTGGGATTGCCATGAATAGATCGAGGTCTTCTGTGCGAAACACACTTTATAAGGAAAGACAAGACAATGCAGCAAACAGCAAAATGCGGTATAGAAGGGTCTATCGCACGAATATTATTGAACTACTCCATATTCTCAGTAAAAGTAGGTAACTATAGGAAATGATTTTTTTGGATTTTTAAGCTTTAAAGCGTTGCTGTAGTGAGTTATAATAAATAATGTTATATGACAACACAAGAGTAAGATAGCGTCGGCGAGTTACAGACACTAGTACCGCGTAATAGGTTGGTATCAAATGTAGGAGAATAAAAGACGAACACAACCATTAAGTATGAGGAGGTATTGAGACGCTTCATTGAATAAGAATAACATCACGACTAAACACCACACCATTTAACAAACTTGAACGGGACACATCGTAAACAAAAATGTAGAACAAATGAGTCTTTCTCACACGCAAATTAAAGTGCAGAATTATAAGCTCCAATATAATTTATTAGAATGCTACTTCCTGGAAGTTAGTGGAACTCACAAGTCTTTGAAAAATCTTCAATTTCCAAAAACGTACAATTTGAGGTAATCTGATACGCTGATAACGAAAACCATAATCACTTTATATGGAAACAGTACTCGTAATCCGCAAGAAACCCATTGAAAGCGTGAGTAATTTGTGTCTAAAGATGTTTGTGCTTGCAATGCAAGCGCAAAGTGCTTTCAATGAACAAGAATCATGTGTGCTAGGAGGCCAGGTTATCCTCGAAACATGTTTTCAGCATCCTCTTCACCTCAGATGGTAGAAATCAATCGGAGCTGTTCTTTTGCTTTTCAGAAGGCTCAAGCGTTGGTGGATCAGTTTCAGTTTTTTGGAGGGCTTTCGCAAACGCTTGCATATAGAAAAGTTTTAATCGCTCAAGATTTTTCTTCTCTAGAAAACGATACATATCTAGAAACATACTCAGTTGAACATGCAGAAGTTCTCGGCACTGTCTAATCCTTTCAGCCTTAACTATCTCACTTTTCAAAGTCAGCGTTAGATCAGCTCTCCCTGAAGTGGTACTGCTCCCGCGAAACACTTACTTGAAGGGATTCAACACCACAGAAAGAAAATGCAAAAAAGACTAGGAAATAAACTTCCATCCCTATTAAATCCAACCCCACCAGTCATTTTCGTTATTCTGCATCTAAGAAGAACGATGGACCACAAAAATCTAATTCTTTTGCACAAAACTTGAAATTTCCCCTTCTCGCAGATAGTGACGCATAAAAACCAAAAATTTTTGCGAAAATGTGAATGTGCTATCATTTTGTCTACTTATACTGTTTCTACGTTTCGAGAAAAAAATCGTGCCACGCTAACCATAAGGTATAAAGATCTAGAAACAAAAGAATTAAATTCGAAACGCAGGGAAACCAATAGGAAGATGGAAATCAAGATAGCAATGTAATGAAAAGTTGCAATAATTTGGCAGAAAACGGTCACATTATGGAGTATGTAGAAGGAAATACAAGCTTTAAAAGGTTAGACTTGTCCAAATCAAGATTACTGGCCAAAGTCAACTGTGTAAGTTAACCAGCTGCAGGCAAATAAGAGAAGAAGGAACAGATCGGTAACCGTATTTCCACATTAAACCGAGAAAGAAAACTTTTCGCAAAGCAAGTTTGCATGTAATACCAGCTAGAGTTTCTACAGAAAACTTGACAAAATATGTCGAAAACGGAAATGGTAACTGCAACTGAATGTTATGGTATCGAAAAAAAGAAAAAGTATGACATTGAATTCAAACCAAGGGTAAAGTCCGAACAAGCTTCCAAAGCAGAACAATAAAGACATAAAATAGGTTTTGATGCCAAACGTGGAAATAACTGACAATGCTAAACGTGGAAATAACTGGAACAATGCTAACCATAAACCCTTGCGCATGATTAAGTGTGACTAACTTGAACGGTTTGCCCTTCGCAATTTTGATGAGGAACCGTCATCGATCAATCACTAAAATGTGAAGAGGGTAGCATTCAGTATAAATTTCACCCCTACGCTGTTAGCGCCTTTCAAACATACTTTGTTGCATTACCATGATACTGCCCACATATAAGACAGCATGTCTAATGGTTATGCAATTATGTCGCATGTTTGCGAACCGCCAGCGCTGTAACGCGCAGACGTATTAGGGACATGCGATTTGAGGCGCACTAATCCATTCTGAAACAAAAGACACCAGCCCTCGCACAGCAGGAATCAACGGATCCCTCTATATATAATCTTTATGCAAGTGTTAAGGAACAGCCATTTTGCCAAAGATAGCAGTAAAAACAAAAATAACAGGTAAAAGCTATCAAGAAAGTGACAATAACGAAACTCACCGAACACGCTTGTTGACGATCACTCCGACAGCACTCTTCGTAACGTTAAATACAGTTCCCGTCTTGCCGTGATAAGCCTTGAAGGGCATACCCTTTTGGAAAGCACCGTTTGCCTTGATGTCGACAATATCTCCTCGCTTATAAATGCGATAGTAGGTGGACAGATGTTCAATTCCATGCTTACGGAAATCTCGAGCGAACATGTAGCGCGTTCCGCGCCTGAGACCCTTTGAGTTGGTCATCCTAGAAGTAGGTTCCCCTGAAAAAAAAAGGCTCAACAATAGTAAACAAAAAGTAGCAGAGATGAAAATGGGTAAACAGAGATAAATCACGATGAGTACTGCAGTGATAAAGCAAATAATTCTAAAAAGCCTCGGTTTTTACAACTGAACACTACGGGGATTTTTGAGGTTTTCCTTGTTAACATGAAAAATTCAAAAGTGAATTACAACACTGGGAGACTTCAAAAGCTTGCTGTGAAAAACCCGAAGAACTTCAACGAAAGGCTCCATAATTTTGCAGGCGCTCACGTCATTAGGGGGACGTTGAAGTGATTGAGCAACTGACAAAAGTTGGGACAAAGGAGGATGTGAACAGCCCCGTTCTCCCTGGCGTTTTCCCAGTCTCGTGGGCTTAGTCCCCCTGTGTGACCTACCAGCGGTTTAAATGCTTTGTTATGAATGTGCCACCCCACACGTTACCGCCAAGTTGTGTATTTTGATTGTTGCAGCTATTTTTGATTGAAATGAGGCTTCGTGATCGCATGATTGCAAAAATTTGGTAAAGGTTCAAGAGACCGCTGTGTCTGCGTTTAATTCCCCACTAGCCAAAAACCAGCTCATAAAAAATTCTAGCGCCTACTTGACAATCGCTTTCAGAAGCAGCAATTTACACTTCCACTCTAGCTTGAGCTCAAATGCGCTGATTCTTACTCCAAACCAGGGCCCTAAGTCTCGCCTACGACAGGAATCTAGTCGCACCTGCCCAAACTGATTATGGCTACCACTACTGATGATAAAGGAGTCTCAGAGAAATCCAAAATGAAGCTTGAAGATATCAAATATCAAAATAAAACCAAATCGCGATTTTAGGATATTGAAGGACGGGAAGCTTTTCTGTCCGAGGACCAACATAATCAAGGCACGGGCCAGCGCGCACGAGTTCGACGTCGCGTGCGATGCATTTCGTCGAGCGCGGCGATTTTTGAGCCGCAGTTGTTGCTCGATTTCTCGATTTCGACACCTTCTGGGCTTTAGGGTTTTCCCTTCCTTCACTTGCAGCTTGCGATCTCGGTAAGTTTGGAATCGTCTTGAGCCGAAGTTTCGTGTCCAGAAACGAGTTTGGAGCATGAGCGGCGATCGAATGGCACTCACTCTACTACGTCAGCACCGTCCAGCATGGTTGATGATTTTTTTGCCGCATTCTTGTTTTAACTCCAGTTCACTAAAGGGCTTTGTGGAAAGTTGAGTTGCCTTGCGTAGAAGATGAAGAACAGACAGTAGCACTTGAACGTGCCTCTTTTGGCTTGCCAAGTGGACTTGATAAAAGTTTTGAAATTCGCAGTAATCCTACGAATGAACGACTGTGTGACTGAATTCTATGAATGAATGAATATTCCATGTCGAACATGCCGCCCCATAGTTGATGCTTAATCGCTTCGGGAATGTACGTAATTATGGTAGTTTGGCATTTATATACATTTGTGCATGTTTCATTGCCTGCTTTTGATCGGTGAGAAGAAAATCCATCTCGCATGATCATATGGTGTCAAGTGATGTTGTATTTCGAAAACTTTGGATGATCTTGCAAACCGTGACTATGTTTTTCAATGACATAAGATTTCCGCTATTGTTCTTGTGTGAGACCTCAACCATGATGGTTGTTATTTCTTGTAAGATTGTCCGTGGCCGCTTTTATGTAATGCTTATTAGCGCCTCTTCGGAGATCAGATTTTATTACCTGATCTGTTGTAGGGTTTTGAGTTCGAGAAGGATAAGGCTGTGAAGCGAGCTATGACTCCTATGACTCTAAAATCTTGTTCTTGCATCGTTTCCAAATTTTTATGATATGCAAGAAACTTCAGACATGTCGGTTGGATCCTTGGTATACCAGAAAATCACTCGACGATTTCCACTCTCTTCCTCGCTGCATCCTTCGGTGCATTCTTTATGAACTACACGTTTGACGTCCTTACTGACACGTATTGGGATAAGGTGAATCTGTTTTTTTTTATTGTTTCATATAGTGTTTGAAGAAATGATGCTGGCTTGGATGGTTTGTGGGTTGAAGGTAAAGATATCTCTGATTTTGTAAATCAGTTTCGAGCCCATTTGAAGCATATTTGCGTTTAAAGGTGGTGATTTATTGTGTCCAAACTCCAAAAAAAAAACAGAATTGCCATTTTCCGCAGAGCAGTTAGCCCATTCCTTAGCTCCTTCGCTCTAGGCTTATGCGTCAATGGATTGCAGAACTGACAGTAAAGGGCACACCACGAACATGTTGTCCCTTCGTTTTGGCGGCCAGGGGGCACAACGGAAATTCGGATGTGGATGAGTGAATTGTTGCTGGCGCGGTCTTGTTTGCGGGCGGTACTTTTCTCAAGGGCGGGCGAGCTTTCCTTTTTAGCATATGCAAATCTATTCCAGAATCCATAGGGCGGAAGTGGTGTAGTGGCAAGTGGCACGCTTACCACGCGAGCGGTCCGGGGATCAAATCCTGTTTCGTGAGTCGCCCGGGCCAACCAAGCCTTCCATCCCTCCGGGGTCGGCTCCCAGACAATACCTAACCATTTGGGCGCGGCCGCGGCGAACGCGGCCGAGTTGATAGGTGCCCGCGAACTCAGCACAGCACAGTTCGCGGGCACCTCGAGTGCGTTTTCAACGGTTCGCGGGCACAATCGACTCGGCCGCGTTCGCCGCGGCCGCGCCCAAATGGTTAGGTATTGTCTGGGGAGGCCCTGTAGAGACACGTAATAACTTGATCAGACATCGTCTGGGAAGGATAAACCACTGACTTTGATTACATCGCTGCCCCCCCGCCCCAAGTCATTTGTATAGCCAACCACATCGCAATTAAACGCCCTACGAATGTTACAAATGAGTAGAGCGGCGATACAATAAATGCAATGGCTACCCGCATCCCAAAAAAGGATTGATCAACGGCAAATGCTTTATCCTTATTTATCCTTTATTCCAGAATCCATGTGGCTTACCATCATGTGAAAATGAGGGAAACGTACTTAGTGCAAAGACAGGCGGTCCCCTAAGGGTGTCGACCAAGTCGCATGTTCGACAGCGAGGAAGACTGCCTCCATGCGATTGCTTCACTCCATGGCCGTCCGCGCTGATGCCGCTCGGCGCCGCACCTATCGCTGGTGCTACTTCGGCCTCGCCCGAAAGATAGTGTAAGTCGGATCAGCACCGGTGAGACACGCCTAACACGCAAGTCAACGGGCAAAAGGGCTTTTCGGTTTCTAGGTTGTTTTTCTATGTTGTTTTTTATCCATGCATCACTGACCACCTAAAATGATTTCTACTGGGCTGTTTGTTGAGATGATAATGTGCCGTTGTTTGACAAAGATTTTCTCAATCTCGTTCATTTCGTCAACGCTAATTAAGAAGAAGGGTAGATGTAAGAACCAATTAGATGGTAGGGGATGTATTTTGGTTAAACCAACCACTGCAAATATGCTTTTGGCGTAGTACTGGGAAAGTCTTTAACACGTTGACGACATCGCGCGTTTTGGTTTTTGCACCGCGTGGGACAGAGCGATTTTGCGAGCGCCGCCGCCGCACACCAAATCCATGGATTTTGAGCTGTAAATACGCAATACTTAGATGCGATGAAGTGTTTTCAATAATGTTCGATCTGTCTAACTTATCGGGAGTTACAGTAATGGAAGTTCGACCGAAATGACGTGTTAAGGCCATGAAAAGGCAAATTTTACTTACTTTCCCTTTAGTGGTTCCAAAATTAATTTGGACGTGGTTGTTTCAGTAAAAACACATATCTTCCCATACGAATAGGTTTGTATTCGCTTCTATTATTCCTTTTTATCAACATGTTTACGTTAATGAAAAGAAAACGAGGAATGAACTGAACAGACATATCCGTAAGGTCTGGAAAATCTGCCAAACTAAAGAATATTTGGCCTTTCTGTGAGCCATGTGGTTTTTAAGTATGCTAATGTATGGCCTATAGAATGAGTACAAAGACCTTAGGAATAAGTCGCGCAAGCGCAAGAAAAAGGGATGACTTGGGTGGGACGCGTTACCGCGTCACAATGTCCCACGAGGTGCGCAAAGTGGGACGCGTTACCGCGTCACGCTGTCGTCAACGTGTTAAATTTTGCTTTCTCATTGTCATTACACGTACTTGCGAGAACTTCCACCTTTACACCCCTGTATAACTTCTGCGCATTTAATATTCCTGAACTGATTTGGTGACACTCTGTGTACTCCGCATTCACCATCCATGTGATCCATGTGTATGAGGTGGGGTAGCGTCGGTCCCACGTCGCCAATAAAACTAAAGTGCTCAATGCGGTAAGACAAGACGACGGCGTGACGCGGCCGCGCGTCACGCTCTCGCACGAGAAGGCTTGTTTTTATTTGTTGGTCTCATTTTCATGTTTTAATTTAATCCTTCCACTTTATCGTGTCGTGCTTTTCAGGTGAATGCTGGCAAGCAATGGAAAGATATCAAAGCAAAACTCGAGAATCCACAGTAGTAGGATTCCCTCAGTGAATACTAGAATTCCTTGTTTTGGTATAAAGATAGGATTTGTATAGACTTTATTTGGAAATTAATTGTTCACCGTTGAGATGCTCATGCTGGATGATACAGTTTAAAATTTCCGCTCAGAGTTCGCATGTCTAATTCAACAGTCTATGTGCACGG